TCATTTGGTGGCATGTCCATGGGCGGCCGCCTTACCTGCCACATGGCTTGATTTATCAAATTCCCATGCATGGCAAATAAAATAAAAAATATGTTTCTCTTCTCACCTGTTTTACTCAAAACATTTAATTGCAAATAACATAAAACTATGGTTGTTATACAGCATACTCTTTCAGAGGATCGCTACAAATCGTGTATAAAAAATAAAAAGTTGTCAAATTAGTTAGCAAAGGCTAAATTTTAAAAATATCGCTAATGATAATACATTTTATGCCAGTTTTATGCCTCCAAGAGAAAGACATTTGATGATACAGCATGTTCGGCACATTCTCAGCAGGCCAGACCTTTTCTTTTTTTTTTTGCACATATTTAAAAATACACATTTTAGGCCCACAAATGACTTAAATGAGAACTATGGGGTCAGGGCTTTTCCTCATAGTTCTCCTTAGGGTAACGGGAGGACACAAACTAGCGTCCTCCCGTTACCCTAAACTCAGTATACCGCGAGCTGTAGCTGTATACTGAGACGCTGCTGCCGGACAGCTGGCTCTGCCTATCTAGAGGCAGAGCCAGCTGTACCTGCATTTGTGTAAAACTGTTGGTGCTATTTAAATCCTGCATAATAATAATATCCATGTAATAAACTCATGTAATGTTTAGTGCCAAGTAATTTGCACAGACTGAGAAGCTCATATATCGAGAATTGTCTTAATGGCTTTGTGTGAATTAAAATCTTTCCCTAAGTCTCCTTCTTACTCTATGATTATGCCCAACCACAGGTGAAATGCGTTCCAGGAAGGAGCTCAGGTGAATGGATGTGGTATCTTCTTCTATACCAGACCTGAGTTGCAACTGGAATAATTGCTAGAGCAAATCATCCAGCACTCCAGATTTCCCCTGTACATTCGAACAATAAAACCTGCCAGGTTTCCATAATGTGCGGTGACGTAGCCATGCTACACTGTTGCCTCCCAGGAAGACTAGGTGCTCTAAATCTCACAAGAATGCACATTGCAGAAGCACGTTCTTCTAGGATGCCCAGTTCCAAATCTGAGCTTATTTCTTTTTTTTTTTTACAACTTTATCTTTGTGCGAATATCCATTAGGAACTAAACAAAATTTACTAAATTGAACTAAAATTGAAATAGTAAACACAATGAAACAGCACCTTGTATAAACAGCACCTTGTATTTATTTGATGGGGTTTTTTATGCTGTATCTCCTATGTTTACATTTCTGAAGTAGTTAATAATGTTGTGTGCAACATTCACAATCTTTTAGTGATGTTGTGGCACATGGAGCTCCTGGGATTTGTACATCTCTGTTTTAATATAGGATTTTGTTTTTATAAATATAGTGAGGCACTGATACCAGTTTTCCAAGTACAACTACAGATACATGCCCAAGTACTCACAGATACAAGTACTGATACATTTTTGTTTATTGTCATGTGACAGTTTTTCTGAAACAATACAGACTAATGATTTCAGGACAGTGGTGGAGCGCCAGAGCCCGGACCCAGCTGCAACCGCTGCAACCCGGGTAGTTCTCATGAAAATGTCAAGTATCATCACTGGTATCTGAACTGGTATCTGGACATCCCCAAAAATAACAAGAGTTGTAGTAGCAATAATTATAACAACTATTTGGATATTATCTATCTATTCTTTTGCAGAAGTGCACCCCCCAGGTGTCTTATCAGATTTTAGCAATTTGGTGATTTTTGACTGCATTAGGTGTACAGGTTTAATTTCAGAGTGGATGGGCTGTAGCAGAAGGTCTGAGGGCAATACAACTACACTGGGAAGACACCTAAACAATTGCTCCTGCTGCACAGAGAGGAATCTGAGACTAGTGTAGATCCTGATGACTCTTCTTGCGCATCTGACTTCAGCTGTTCTAGGCTGGAAACTCTGCGATTGTAACTGGGCAGGATCTCTGTCCTTTGAGGAGAGGATTGAAGATTTTTGTTAAGTCTCCAGAAAAGAAGCCTCTGGTAACTTTATTATTCATGAAGGATGCAGGGAGTGATGGCCTCAAGCCAATATATATATGAGGTGCCCTAAAGTAGGGGGGAGTTCACATATGTTCTGGAGGGAAGAATGCTGCTACTGTGAGCAGGAGAGAGAAAATCTGCTGCAAGAACTGAATGTCCGGAACCTCAAGAGGGAGCAACTAGCTGCCCTGGAGATTAAAAGAGACCATAATTAGGGATACACACCACTGTGGATATCGAAGGGACCTTTGTTACTGTGGATGGTCCTATTATGGCTAGGGCCACTGATATTACTGCTAGTGTAAGGGACCTGTGTACACTGGGACTTTGGGGAGATAAAACCCTTGGATTGCTGGGACTTGTTAATATCCAGCTTACTTGGAGGACTTCTGATCTGTGAGAGTTGACCACATGGAACTTTTACCATAGCACATGGTTGCATGTAAATATTGAAACTGTTGTAGCACCTACAGACTGCTAGTAATGCTGTCTTGCTGTATCTGCTAATGTGGACCTACTGTATGTTGTTGGAGGTAATTTTACGATAAAATATCTGTTTGTCTACTTCAGTGGGTTTTAAGCTAATTATTACCTGCCACCTCTCGGTTAAACAGTTTCATCTGCCTCATTGGCCTCCTTTATGGAGTCCCATTCCCACCCTAGTCCAAAGAGCATCCATGTGGACTCATATGGCTAGCGTTAAACCACTGCTCTCTGGAGCAACAATCTATACCGTTATCTCTTAAAAAATATTAGTAGCCATTTATATATTTTGCATTTAGAAAATCATAGTTACATAGTTACATAGTATTTGAGGTCGAATAAAGACATAAGTCCATCAAGTCCATCCATCTTTTAAAGCAATCTACAGGATCATCTAGAACAAGCACCTTTGGAAGACTATTCAGCATTGTAATTGTTTTTACAGTAAAGGATCTGTTTCTTATTTGAACTTGACAAAACTCTGAGGCCTCAGATAATCTCTGGCCCTCTGTTGTGGTATGGAACTATAAAAGCAGATCCTGGCAAAAGGCCTTCAGGATAATAAAATGTATGATTAACCATTTGTGGTTAATACCAGCTTGTTAGACACCATAGCCATTAAAATATAGTTAGCTACACCTTTATGGCTATAAAAGCCTTTACTCTTTTGGAATGTGCCTGTGGAAATTTGTGACCATTTAGACAAGACAAAAAAAATGTCACCTTAATCTCCTAACCTCCAAAGAGAACATATTTAATTTTAACAACCTTGTTTCATAGTTCAGATCCTCAAACCCCTTAATGAGTTTGGTTGCCCTCCTCTGGACTTTTTCCAGCTCAAGGACATCCTTTCTGAGTATTGGCGACCAAAACTGGACCGCATACTCCAGATGAGGCCGAACCAGTGATCTGTAAAGTGGCAAAATTATAGACTTGTCCCTGCAATACATTCCCTTCTTAATGCAAGACAAGACACTGCTAGCTTTATTTACAGCAGCCTGGCACTGCAAGCTATTCTTCAGTCTGTGGTCTATAATGACCCCCAAATCCTTCTCCTTTTCCGACTTCCCTAGTGGCACCTCCATAAGTGTATAGTCCATTTTCCTATTTTTAACTCCAAGGTGCATTACCGTACATTTATCGAGATTGAACTTCATCTGCCATACAGTTGCCAACTCCCCGATTTTCTCCAGGTCCTCCTGTAATGTTATAATGTCTAAATCCGTGTCTACTACCCTCCCAATTTTAGTATCATCAGCAAACACTGAGATATGACTTCTCACTCCCTCCCCTATATCATTAATAAATAGGTTAAAAAGCATGGGACCCAGCACCGAACCCTGGGGTACGCCACTCATGACCTCCGCCCAGTCTGAGAAGGTGCCATTAACTCTGAGAAGGTGCCATTAACTCTGAGAAGGTGCCATTAACTCAACTCTGAGAAGGTGCCATTAACTTGTGTTCCTTCACACCAAAAATTATCAAACTATGTCTTTATGGAGCTGGCTTGGTGTGCAGTTGAACAGTCATGCTGGAACTGAAAAGGACATTCCCCAAACTGTTTTTAGAAAGTTTGAAGAGCACAATTGTATGAAATATCTTTGTATTAACAGTACCCTTCACTGGAGACACCTGAACTCAATGGTTCCACACACCTTTTTCCATATAGGTAAGTGTGGTGGTTAGGTGTCAACAAACGTTTGGCCAATTGTGTATATAGTTATACTACTTTTTGTATTATTCATTCTCAGAAAGTGGAGCTCCAGACATTTTCTAAGATTTAATAACGTAGTGAAGGAATAGAGCCTGTTCATTTTCAGCTGTTGTCTCTGAAATGACCAATCGGTTCTTGTATTGGTGACACAAGAGTCAGAAAAGAAAAATTATTGGGGACATAGGCAGCAACAAATACCTCAAAGGGATTTTAACCTTACCCTATTCTACAATTATCCACTGTCCACCAATAATTGGGAGGGATTATTTTTACAGCCAGCCACTGACCACCAATACTTCTGACCAATGTGTTTACTGTCTCAGCTTTTGCTGGTTGCTAAGTAGTCACTGACTATTTCATGGAGCTCTTATTTAAGGTAGGCTGAAGAGCATATGTAATTTGTTTTGCCAGGCCAGGATGTCTGCTAAGTCCACAAAGCCTTTACAAAGAGAGAAAAGTGTATTTAGGGGTGCGAGAGATTGGGTTTTTTAATGATTTGGTATCGACCTCTTGCAAATCCCTGTATAGGAGAGCTCAGACTGGGAAAGTGAGAGACAGCACAAGAAGCCAGTTAGCTGGCTGGAGGAGGAAAAAGACCTAAGTATTACTCAACTGCAGGTCTCCTGACCTGCTAGACTGGGCAGAGCTGTGCTAGGTGGTAGAACTGGGTAAATCTCAGGGCTGGTGGCCTGGAGTTCTGCATTAACATATTCTGGCCCTTACAGCAAACTGTAGATATTTGTAAAAGGTTAAAAAGCAAAAAAAAGACAAAAATCACACCAAAGTTTAGGCTGCAAGTGTTAGTTTATTCAGTGGTGCACATAGTGATTCCTGTTTGATTTTGAAATCATTAGAAATGATCCTCCTAGGTGAAGGTTTAGTTGGCAGCCACTGTGCTGGAGATCCAGGAGTTGTAGTTGCAGACCCTGGTGTAGACACCGGGGTAGTTCCTTTGAGCGCAGCCGTATCCCCAGGAGACAATACCCTGGAGCTGTCCATTGCAGACAACGGGGCCACCGGAGTCACCCTGAGGAGACAGATTATTAAAATCAAATAAACACCTTTGAAGCAATTATCTGGAGTGAAAAGAACATTTCTCTTTCAGCAATTGTACAACTAACAAAGCTAGTGTAACCACTGGAGCAAAACCCACAGTAAACCAGTTGAATGATCTTATACACAAGCAAATTCATTCGTTGGGAGGGGGGCAATTACCAGTGGCATTCCTATGTCTAGAGGTATACCTTGTATGATATTTAAAGTCCATTGAATCTAAATACAATCCAGAGGTATTAAATCAAAGGGTGCTCAATGCCTTACATCTGTAAAAGATAAATCAAAGCAATTGGACTTGCTGTATTTTTCTTGAAGACATTTTGCTGGTCATCCAAATAGCTTTCAGAATTCAGAATTCTGTTGTTGCTGACACTGTCCTTCCTCCTGGAGGGTGGCTACGTTTGTTCCCCATGGTCCATGTGTGTTGTAAAGTAGTCACCATTCCAAGCTCACTCCTGTGATGGACTACAATCTCACTTTTAGTTTACTAATTTGTATTGAGATTGAAGTCTATCATGGGAGTGAGCTTGGAGCGGTGACTACTTTACAACACACACAGGGACCATGGGGAACAAAAGTAGCCCCCCTCCAGAAGGAAGGACAGTGTCAGCACCAATTCAGAGATGATTTGAGGAAAATTAACTAAAGACTTTGAACTACACAGAGTTATAATCTACATGGAATGTACTTAGCTGATTTTAAATGAGAGCTTAATTGGACTTTAAAGACATTGTGATAGGAAGCATTTGTTGGAGAAGATGAGTAGGTGGACCTTCTTGGGTGGGGGGCTCAGATCTATGAGTGGGCTAGGGAGGGGGTCTGGGCAAATTTTGCTTGAAACATGTACATTTACTTGGACAATGCCATTATTTTATGTACAACACAAGCCATTAGACCAAGGGTGGGCAAACCCCGGACCTCTAGCTGTGATGAAACTGTAAATCCCATGAGGCAATGCAAGATTCTGACAGCCACAGGTATGACTCCCACAGGCAAATGCATGAAGGGATTTGTAGCTTTACCACAGCTGGAGGGCCAGAGTTTGCATACCTCTGCACTAGACTAATACAATATGTTCCTCTTACTAGTGAGTCAATTACTTTCAAAACCACAGATTGCAATTTTGTTTCTTTAAAGTGTTGTGTGCATTCTGTTGCAAATCTTTGATAAATATGGGCTGAAGAGATTATCGGAGACTATTTCAGAGTCCCAACTTTGAAAAAAAAAGTGCAAATACAAAAACAATCATAGATTACCTGGCATGAGTCCTGTCCACCGGCCAGAAACCCAGCGCAGAACATATTTCTGGTAATTTCACCGGGGTAAGCATTTTGGCACTGGCTGTCTGTCAGAATTGGGGCGTTGAGACACTGCAGGAGATCTGGATAGTTAGCTAAAAGGGAAAAAAAACATATAGGTCATTAAAAAATGAATCTTCTATTTCTGACCCTTCCAAAATTAAGATGTGAAATACAGGTCTAGAAGAAAATATTTTAAGACTTACTTCCACTGCTGAGAGTGTTACCCCATCCGGAGATCAGACAGCTAGTACCGGCGGCAGAGCAGCCAGAGGGCAGAGGCGCGGTCTTGACGTATGAATTGAGAGTGGCTGGTTTGGAGAGTTTGATCATCATGATGTCGTTGTCCAGGGTTCTGGAGTTGTAGCTTCCATGTCTGATGACCGTGGCGGAGCTAATGAACTGCTCGCTGCCTTCACTCACGGCAATGTTATGTTCTCCCAGTCTGACCTGAATGCTCCTGTTGGGAAAAATGTGCAGGGATTTTTTATATATCACAGTGCTAACAGGACCTTTAGGCTTTTCTATAGTTACATATTCAATAAAGTGTATTTTACATAGCATCAGTGTGCCATTTAAGGGCTCAGTATTAGGTGTTAGGTCGAGTAATATGGTGACTGGTTGGGGAAGGTTAAAGCTCCACTTCTGGACTATTTGTTTTAGTGGGCCCCCATTACAGTGGCACTAAACTCAGGAGTTCAATCTTAAAAAGGAATTTAAGTACCCTAACTAATAACAAACTGGACCTTATTTGCGCATCACTTAGCTGTAGATCCTAAAATCAACTCTGAATTGGTGCTGACACTGTCCTTCCTTCTGGAGGGGGGGTACTTTTGTTCCCCATGGTCCCTGTGTGTGTTGTAAAGTAGTCACCGCTCCAAGCTCGCTCCTGTGATGGACTACAATCTCAATACAAATTAGTAAACTAAACATGAGATTGTAGTCCATCACAGGAGGGAGCTTGGAATGGTGACTATGCTACAACACACACAGGGACCATGGGGAACAAAAGTAGCCCCCCTCCAGAAGGAAGGACAGTGTCAGCACCCATTCAGAGATGATTTGAGGATCTACAGCCGAGTGATACACAAAGAGGATATATTGTTGTTAATAATTAAGGTACTTGAATGTATTTTTAGGATTTAACTCCTGAGTTTACTGTCACTAAAGCTCCCATTCTGGGTAATTTTTTTAATGGCCCACCATTTAAAAAAAACAATGTAGGTTACAACACTGATTTACAATCTGAGGCTGTCCCCTGCAGTACCTTTCCACCGCAAGATGTCCTCAGTCTACTTAAGGAGACTTAAACATGAGTCTATATTGTTTCATGAAGATATGAAGAACATACAAACTTCTTAAAGAACAAGAAATATACAGGATTTAAACAAGAAGACATATCGCTCTTACGATTTGTAGCAGTGAGCAGCGGAGATCACCCACAGGCTGTTCACCAGGGTCCCTCCGCAGAAGTGGTAGCCGGAGTTGAGGGATACCTGGTAGGGGACAGAGTTCTTGGAGCAGGTGAAACCTCCGACGATCTTATCGTCATCATCAAAGGCAGCTGCAATGAAAGGTTGATTTTAATCAAATAAATGGTCTAGGCGTTATAACAGTAGAATGCTTAAAACTGAAATCCCTGCCTTTGGCTGTTTTACCTAATGAAGAATGTATAGTTCTGTCCATCTAGTTCTGAGATTTACACAGCAATACCTAGTCTGGCAAGGTATAAGACCTGCCACAGTCAAGTAACTCTTGCAGGTCTTGTCCTATCCCTGGCCTGTGAATGGACATTGAAAGGAAAAGCGGCAGACTGATGGGCTTTTTTTCTGCCACTAGATGTCCTTAGACTCATGACCAGCATCATTCATCCAACTTGTTCTTAGCCCAGGTCACTCTGGACCCTCCCCCAGCCTGTGACTGGACAGTGAAAATAAAAGCAGTAGGCCGATGGGCTTTTTTTCTGCCGCTAGATGTCTTCAGTCTGAAAGGCAACATCATTAAACCCACTTCTTCCGATCCCAGGTCACCCTGGACCTTTCCCCAGACTGTGACTGGACAGAGAAAAGAAAAGCTGAAGACTGATGAGCTTTTTTTCCGGCCATTAGATGTCCTTAGTCTTGCATTATTCAACCTTTATGTTCTGAGCCCAGGTCACCCTGGACCCCACCCCAGCCTGTGACTGGACAGTAAAGGAGAAGCAGCAGATTTATGAGCTCCTGCCTCTGTTACTCTGCTATCTCATCCTATCAGCATAAAACACAAGCATTGCAGACCAGCTTAGTGGCTCCTTGTGTTGCTTCTTCCCCCATCATTCTGAGCTCTGCTGTATAGAGCTGCAAGAGACTTATACAAGGTCAAATTCAGGTACTTACTATGCTTGCATTAAAACAAACATCCACAAAAAAATACAATAATTAATATATAGCTTCATTAATTTGTGTCTTTGATATCTGCCTGAAGTTCAGCTTAAGAGAGTCCTGCTAACATTGAGACCAACATGTAAGGCAGGGTAGTGAAGAGCCATTCATAAATAGGGGTATTTTATATGTTCAATATCTGCCTTAGGATCCATTTTAATACCAGTATTCATAGATGGCCCATTGCACGAAGCAAAGCAGCCAATTAGGACATTGAGTTAAGTCATGTTCACCAGAGAAATCATAATGGTTGATTAGCATTATTATAATGCCATTTACTAATTTACTTTGATTAGCATTTTTGAGCCATTTATTAAACAAAAAGGTAAACTCAAAAGACATTGGAAAATTATTCTATAGTACAATGAAGAATTCATACCTGCCACCCCCAATAAGACTGCGATCACAAGGAACTTCATGATTGATCTCTGAGATGATTAGTAAAGGATGGTTGCTCCAGTCCTGAATTTATACCCTGAAGGAGAGGTGTGGTGGGATTCTGTCCAAGGACACATGGCCTTGGCAAGAAGAAGTGCAATGAAATAAATCATTTGGTGGCATGTCCATGGGCGGCCGCCTTACCTGCCACATGGCTTGATTTATCAAATTCCCATGCATGGCAAATAAAATAAAAAATATGTTTCTCTTCTCACCTGTTTTACTCAAAACATTTAATTGCAAATAACATAAAACTATGGTTGTTATACAGCATACTCTTTCAGAGGATTGCTACAAATCATGTATACAAAATAAAAAGTTGTTAAATTAGTTAGCAAAGGCTAAAGGTTAAAAATATCGCTAATGATAATACATTTTATTCTCATTTTATTCTTCACATTCTCAAATAATTAATTCCCACAGCTACCACAGCTACCTCCTCATGTATCATTCCCCCCTCCTCTTTCAGATTGTAAGCCCTCAGGGGCAGGGCCCTCCTTACCATCTTGTCTTGAATTGTATTGTAACTGTAATGTCTTCCTTATATTGTAAAGCGCTGTGCAAACTGTTGGCGCTATATAAATACTATGTAATAATAATAATAATAATTTTATGCCAGTTTTATTGTGTAAACTGCAAGAAAAAGACATTTGATGATACAGCATGTTCGGCACATTCTCAGCAGGCCAGACCTTTTCTTTTTTTTTTTGCACATATTTAAAAATACACATTTTAGGCCCACAAATTACTTAATGGAGAACTATGGGGTCAGGGCTTTTCCCCATAGTTCTCCTAAGGGTAACGGGAGGACTCAAACTAGCGTCCTCCCGTTACCCTAAGCTCAGTATACCGCGAGCTACAGCTCCCTATATACTGAGACGCCGCAGCTGAAACGGATCCCGACAATTATATCTAGAGACAGAGCCAGCTGAACCCGCCCCCTTCCCCATCCGTTCCACCAGTCAGCGCTGGAGGATCGGACAGGGGAGGGGGAATACAGTCACTGCCCTGTCACGGCAGAGAGCCGTGACAGGATCGAGAGGTGAGCGAACGCCGGTATGTGTTTGCTCACCTCCCGATCTACTGAGCCGACCTGTGACAGTCTCATTGTTACAGGTCGGCCAGAACTATGAAGATGAGTGAAAATCAGTCACCTCATAGTTCTCCTTTAAAGTCATACTGAAGTAAAACATTATTATTATTATTATTAGGAATGGTCCAGAGAAGTTATGTGCAATCATTTGCCAAACATGTCCAGAGGGAGCCTAAGGCTGCTAAAAATTTTATTTTTACTATACTGGACAATGACTGTAAGCTGCGACCTTCCGCAGCTCAGTCAGATATTTCCTTCGAGGGTACAATAAAAGATAGCTTTGCTCTCACTCCCCTTTCCTGTCTCCTCAGCCATTCACAAAAAACCTTTGTATTTTTTTCACTGAATGCAAGGCATCCTGTGATTGGGTGAGAGTAGAGAAAGGGCGGGTAAACCACGGGATCTTCTCTCAGCTTATCCCTAATTGTAATTGTACTTTGTCCCTTCATTTTGTAAAACTGTTGGTGCTATATAAATCCTGCATAATGATAATATCTATGTAATAAACTCATGTAATGGTTAGTGTCAAGTATTTTGCACAGACTGAGAAGCTCATATATCAAGAATTGTCTTAAAGGAGAACTATGAGGTGAGTGCTTTTCACTCACCTCATAGTTCTAGCCGACCTGTGACAATGAGACTGGTCTCATTGTCACAGCCGCCCAGTTAGTTAAAAAATTACAAACAAATAAATAGACAATGATTGTGCGGAGCTAGCAGTGACAGATAGCTCCGCCCAACTGTTTTCTATTGGCCGGAGGTTCTGCTGCCGTCCAAAAAAAACAAAAAGAAACAAAACATGTTTGCCATACGAATGCATTGCTAGATTAATATTGGCTATTTCAATTTGCAATAGCCAATAGCAAACTAGCTATTGCACCCGCCCTCTGCTGCTGTCAATCACTTGTGGGGACTTGATGGAGAACTGCAGGTCTCCTCTGCTGATTGACAGCAGCAGAGGGCGGGTACAATAGCTAGTTTGCTATTGGTTATTGCAAATTGAAATAGCCAATATTAATCTAGCAATGCATTCCTATGGTGAAAAGTTTTTTGTTTTGTTTTTTTATTCTGACAACAGCCAACGGCTCCATGTCAGAATAAAAAAAAAAGAAAAAGCAGTGTTTCTCTGGAGATCAGTGTCCCTGGTTAGCTGGTAATTAGGGACACTGATCTCTCTGCAAGTGGCCGGAGCCAGCCGTAAAATCACGGCTGGCTCCGCCCAGCTGTCAGAAGCAGGCTGTCGTCCGGCCAATAGCCGGCCGCTCGGCCAGTTTCGGCTTTCACCTCGGTTCAGTCGAGCCGAAGCATATGCCTTCGGCTCGACTGAGCCGCTCGGCGGACTTCGGGAGCTGTACGGGCTATAGTGCATAGCCCGTACAGCAGCCCTTCGGTTCTACTGAACCGAAAGGGTCCTGGGGTCCTGCTTCGTGAATAGACCCCATGTTCCAAAAGAAGTCCAGAATGCTTTTGTAAATGGATTTAGGAAGCATTAATAATGGAGTTTTTAATATCAAGATTGTGCTATTCTGAAATATTACGAATGAAACGACCACCAAGTGTTGAGATGATTGGGTCATAGCACATCTTGGGATGTTTTTGATCCACCTGCACCTTCTATACAAAATCTGGTTAAATCTTCTCCCACCATCAAGCTTAACTCTGCCGAAATGACAGGACTGGCGGGGCTGCTCTGGGTGCTTTCAGAGAGGTGAAAAGTAATGTTGAAAGATCAGCTCACTCACAATTCATTTGACAAAATTACAATTTGTAAACTGGTCACTTGTAATATATAGTTTTTGGTACATCTAACGGAGGTTGAACAATCAGAATGCAGCATGTGTGGCCAGCCTACAAAATATTAGACATCTTTCTGCTCTCATGCCTGAAAGCAATTGGCACCACTGCAGCAGATCGGAGTGGAATTGCTGGAAGGCTCTGAAAATGTTTTGGAAAGGTTTGCAGTTATCAGCAGAACGTATGGGAAGGTGACCAGCTGTACCAGTTGGATGGGGAATCCTGTGACTAAATACCTAAAAATACCACATTCTATAATATGCTCTATTTGAGGAAGAGTTCAACGTACCTCAAAAAAGATTGTGACTTTATTAAAATATGTATTGTAAAACTTCCTCCACATTTCTAATATTGGAGCCAGGCAAAAATAATAATAATGGTAATAGTAATAATAATCATAATAACAATACAAAATAATCCCCTCTCTGCTAATCTGACTTTAAAAATAACATTCTTTTAAATTGTGCAATTGCTTAATTAAATGAATGGTCATGTGATCCTCTGACACACTGTATCTTTACTGTTGGTAGGGACATGTGCCTATTTTGTTTGCTGCTCCCTGCCAGTCTCTGCTGGTCTTGTTATTACCTCCTTGTAAGATAACCACTAACTTGCAACTGTGGTTCCTCTAACTATGTCTTTTGTCACCTTTCCCTTATCCTTCTTTTTTCATACTAGTATTAGGAATGTATTACATTTTGTTAGACTAGTTCCATTACCTCCTGTTGTATTCTTCATCTTCACTCAAGGTAATTTTTTCAATGTTTGGTGGATACTGGAAAGTTAAACTATCTGGCAATTACTACTGTCTCCTGGGGACTCTATTGGTGGAAACAAGTTTTCTTGTCAGCACAGCTGCTGTGCCCATTATAAGGTGTGTCTGCCATCCCTACTCTGAGTTCTCTGGTCTGTACACCTGCTGTGCCCATCATGAGGAGTTCCCATCATTCCTGAGCTGAGTTCCCAGGTCTGTACACCTGCTGTGCCCATCATGAGGAGTTCCCATCATTCCTGAGCTTAGTTCCTGGGTCTGTACACCTGCTGTGCCCATTATGAGGGGCTTTCACCATCCATGTGCTGAGTTCCTGGGTCTGTACACCAGCTTTGTCCATTGTGAGGGGCTCCCACCATCCTCGTGCTAAGTTCCTGAGTCTGTACACCAGCTGTGCCCATTATGAGGGGCTCCCACTATCCATTTGATAAGTTCCTAGGTCTGCACCCCAGCTATGCCCAATACGAGGTGCTTTCCCCCTTCCTGTACTGTTCCTGGGTCTGCACCCCAGCTTTGCCCATTATGAGAGGCTCCTACCTTCCCTAATGGGTTTGTATATTCTGGAGAATGTAACAGGAGGAGCTGGAACACACAGAGGTGGGCAACAACACCCCAAGCTCCCAGTTGGAGAGGAACAGAGTTGAAAATGATGGCAGGGAGATCTCACTCTATTGTTTTACAGTAGCCCTGAATGTGCTTTGTACTTAGTGCTGTGCCTCTTACACTCTTTAAAACTTAATTTTGTTTTAATACATTGTGTTCAAAATATCAGCGAGCCCAGTGAATATTCAACCAAAAGATTTGGTCCAAGATTCGACAGGATTCGTGCTGATGGGTGAATCTTGCATAATCCAATTTTGCCAGTGATTTGGCAAATCTTGTTAAACAACAGGAATGTCCCTTTATGCATTTGCTAATATGCTCGCTGGGTCCTAAAACTGGGTTTATACACATTAAATGTTATTTTGTAAAAAGTTTAATGAAAACCGTGTGCCCTCCTCCAGAGCTTAGCAGCCCAGCATGCAGACTGGTATTCTCATAGCAGTGAGGCTGCAAGCATTCAGCATCCCAGATGTGCTGATTACAGTCCACATGTCCATCAGCATTGGGGAGTTGCATTAAGAAGGGTTACCCCCAAAGAGCGGGGGGATTTCCCAAAGCACCTTAGGTTGATGCTGATGGGTACTGAGCTCTTGAGCACTTCTGGTGCTTAGGAGGGAGTGCCAGAAGAAGGGAGGCTTATATTCCACCTACTTGCTTCCCCTGAGGAGGGAACAAATAGGTGGTTGAACATCCATTTGCTGGAAGCTGCTCTGCACATATTTTTTTTTTCATTTGCACTTGATTATTTTATTCATTGATTATTTGACCCCGCTGGCTGTCAAAATACCTGAACAATCTGATTAGATGCAGGCATTGTTCAGGTGTTTTGAGAGCCAGCCTAGCTGACTAGCAAGATAATGAAGCTTGGCCCAGTGGCAGACTCCTCCATCCACACAGTTTAGCGCAGATGGAGGAATCTGTTGTACTTTTTCCATCTGACCATAGAAAATCTGCAGATAATCTATAGGTGTGTGGCCAGCTTTAGATTGCTGAATGTGGTGACATTTCACTTTGCAAATAATGCCCAATCATGTGCAAGGAAACAAAAGAAGAAAGGGTTTTTGCTTGTACATGATTGGATTTTGGAAGTCAGCAGAGCTTCACCTCATTCACTAAGCTAAGTGGTTTTAGGTGTATTACTACAAGCCATGCATTGTCTGTTGGCTAATACGTGTTTTCTCTTAGAATTAAAACACTGATAACAATATGGCCAGCTTAAGGAGAAACTTTAATCCAAAGTGAACAGCCTATTTTCCTTTAGTGCACCGTCCCTTGTGAGTCAACTTGGCAGCCTGGACTCTACTCCAACCTTTCCGCAATAAATTATTGTAAAGCCGGGCTGTCTAGATCCATATTATTAATTTAATTTTCTACAAGGGCCAGAGTCTTCTTAAATGTATTTTCCAACATGCTCAATATATTAAGAGATGATGAAGCACCTTTTTTTATTAATTATTTTTATGACATTAAAAGTGTTGATATTAATGATTGCAGACTCAATAAGACATGTTTGTTGTTAATTGGCGGCAATGGTGTCTTGGATCCAGGAGTTGTAGTTGCAGACTTTTGTGTAGACTCCGGGGTAGTTCCTCAGGGCACAACCATATCCCCAGGAGACAACTCCCTGCAATTCTCCGTTACACACCACGGGGCCACCGGAGTCACCCTGAGGGGCAAACACAAAAAAATTACCTTTTTTACATATAACATTCTAACATGATGGATATTTAGATTAGTACAATTTAGGTTTAGGAAAAAAATGTAAGATTTTGGGAAAGGACATAGACAATGAATCATAAATAGTACAGAAAAAGACAGGCAACTGAAAGATGAAAAGGAAACGCTAGCGTAAGGGAATGGCGTACATATAGGATTACATTTCATATATTTACAAATACACTGCCTGTAAAAAAAAAAAAGTTGCACGCTGTAATATTTCGTTGGGCCACCTTTAGCTTTGATTAGGGCACACATTCACCGTGGCATTGTTTCGATAAGCTTATACAATGTCACATTTATTTCCATCCAGAGTTGCATGAATTTTTCACCAAGATTTTGTAGAGATGATTGAACAGTTGGACCACTGCGTAAAGTCTTCTCCAGCACATCCCAAAGATTCTCAATGGGGTTAAGGTTTGGACTCTGTGGTGGCCAATCCATGTGTGACAATGATGTCTCATGCTCCCTGAACCACTCTTTCACAATATGAGCCCAATGGATCCGGGCATTGTCATCTTGGAATATGCCCAATGTGCCATCAGGGAGGAAAAAATCCATTGAATTCAGTATATACAGGTAGACTGCTGACCTTATTTTTTGGACACATATTATTGCTGAACGTAAACCTGACCAAATGAATCCACCCCAGATCATAACACTGATCCAATGGAAGACACTGACCTATTTTCTTAGCTATTTGCTTTTTTTTGGTCGGGCAGTGTATATGTTACATGTATAATAACAGCAATTTAAAGCTTATGTAAACCCAAGGCCAAAAATGTCATACATTTCAGATTTAGTCCTTAGATGTAGTGGCTGCGCTATTATTCTTTTTTTTTTCCTCCTTTCATTTCACCTGGTGATCCTTCCATTAACACACTTCCTGTTTTAGGGTTTAACGCTTACTAATCATACTGTATCTATGGAGGAACAGCATTGTCATCCTATAACAGGAATTGTTGTGACACTAAACTCGGGAGCTAAAACTTAATAATGCATTCACATGCCCTGACTATTAACAACAATGTATCTTATTTGTGTATCACTCGGATGTAGATCCTCCAATCATCTCTGAATTGGTGCTGACACTGTCCTTCCTTCTGGAGGGGGGCTACATCTGTTCCCCATGGTTCCCGTATTTGTTGTAAAGTAGTCACCGCTCCAAGCTCACTCCCGGGATGGACTACAATCTCAATACAAATTAGAAAACTAAATGTGACGTTTTAGTCCATCACTGGAGTGAGCTTTACGCTGGGGGTGGTTTGTACTCAGAGTGCAACCAGAAGGGCTCAGCCAGTCCTCTGGCTCGCAGATATGACATCATTGTGTTGCTGGAAGAATGGGTTGGCTGCTCAAGAGGGAAATAAGAGGAAGGAGATCTCTGTACCTTGCAAAGTCAATATCCTTGCCTTTAGTAGTTGTAGTTTTGTGTTACTTGAGAGATTTTGCCCACCAACATGCTGAGCGAATTCTATTTGTGCGTTAATACTTCTACAAGATGGAGCTGAGGAGCATTGGAAAATCATATCCTCCTCTGGTCCATCAAAATGCAGTAATGCCATGTGAAGGGCATCCTCCCAGCTATACACTGGGCTTAAGATTTAGACCCTTGATGTCCTGAATTGCTGCATGCCATAAAAGGGCCCATTAATATTTTCATTTAAAGAGTATCCAGGGGTGGGACATGCGGGAAGCTTGGTAGCCTATTAGCTTGTTTTCCCTGACTTCCGTCCTATATTCTTTGTGAAATATAACTTCTTTTCCTTTGATAATGTAGATAATGTATCCATAGAAGAAGCATAGTGGTTTGGTTTACCAGCCTCTTGTAGGCCAATGTCCTAAAAAAAAAGACAAAAACACATTACCTGGCAGGAATCCTTCCCTCCCTCCAAGTATCCAATGCAGATCATGTTAACTGTGATTTCTCCAGGATAGGCATTGTTGCATTGTGCATCAGTCAAGACGGGAGCGTCAACACAGTGCAGGAGATCTGGGTAATTGGCTGGAAGAAAAGAAATGACTTGATTCAAACCAAATTAACATGAGCAAGACAGACTATGGGAACCACAACTTGATGTACATACCGAGCAGGTCAAAGTGGTATCTACATAAAAAGGTTTTTTTTTCTTCTGTATAATAGTTTTATTTTTTTTTTGCTTGCCTATTTAATTATTTATTTTACCTGACACCCTGCTTGAATATGCCCGTTGTCATTCAACTTATTAAAGTGCATGTGATGCTTTAGTACATCAAGAAGGATAGCACATGAAGCTGCTGGTCTCACAGACTCAGTTTGGTAACTGACTGCTTGAATCAACCGTGCTAAGTATGTTACATTGTGAAGATGTTTTCACCATTGTATCTTCAGAGGAAGGCCCAGATTGGTGCTAAGAGAGGTTGCACAATGGAGATTCCACATCCTGCAGTATGCAGTTTGGGTCTAGGTGCTCACTTGTTCCAAACCATATCTTCAATGTTCCCCAAAAGAAGATATTTTATGGGCACTGGCAGTGTACAACTCTCTTTGTTTTATTTTCAATATATTTCCAATAATATTTCAATAGGCTGTGGGTGACCTTGAAGTATCTTCTTTTGGAGTCCCTGAAAGATGTTTTAATACATGTTCTTTGTATGAAGATATATGAAGACGTATGACGATATACAATTGTGTACTCCAAAACAAGATACTTCAAGGTCACCACAGGCATATCCCATTTTTTCTGAGTTGCTCTTCAGATTTGACTCAATAGTTCATGCTTAAAGAAGGTCACTTACATTTATTTGGGGCACAATAGCTCCAGGAGTCTCTTCTCATCAAAGGCAAGCTACCCCGAAACTAAGGTACCCAACCATTGGAATCAAGGTATAGAGAGCACCGGACCAAGGAACTATGATTTAAAAAAAAAGTTTAATGCTGCTATTATTTCATAACTTACTAACCTTGACCAATTTCATTATATAACACAATTCTTTTTTTAAAAGCTATTTTTCGTGATTATTATGATTTGGGTGATGTTTATTTCTGCGTGTGTATTGTTGAACTGTAATGTTAGTTGATTATCAGAGAATTTTGTATAGTTACAACCATTCTTGTACTTGCCTTGTAGCCCTGAATAAGGGGGAGTACTTTGAGCCCCCAAAACACCTAAAAAAATGGTTTTCAGAACACTTTAAGGCACATATATATACCAGGGTTAATCAAAAAGTAATGCCTCCATGTCTGTAATTTGAGATCTATTAGAGTAATTGTGAATGTTCATATGCCATGTTTTAGAGGTGTCCGTACCCCACCAATGAATGCTTTTCTTTTTCAGATTGAGTGATTAGAACCATGGATATGCAGCTAAAGCAACTAGCTGAAAAAGGGTTGCGCTCCAAAGGAAATCCCTAATCAGCTAAAGAATGTTGATTGGGACGGTTTTAGTTTTAGTTTTGGATAGACTAGAAGAGTATCAACCTGTGTCAGGATTTATTGCTGACTTTTAATGAGGAGATTGACTCTCTCTATTTGTCTTGGTGGTCATTGTCACTGTCACCAAAAGAAAGAGAAAATCCAAAAATTTGCATCCATTTTTCCATCTTAACAAGAATAGAAGAAAGTTTTCCAATGGGGGCACCTTTGGAGAGATTTCCTCTCACTTCCTGTTATGTTTGGAGACAGGAAAATTGCCCCCGAATGTACACAGACAGCAAAAAAACCCGTCAAAAACAGTGTTTTTAACCATTCTCTATTCGATCCAAAACTAAACAAAAATGGTTTCTGTATAATTTAGCTAGAACATAAGCTGCATTTTTATAATCTTTCCATATCTAGTTAACTTGTTTAATCTTTCTCTCTCCTTTGCATTCTAGATCTTTTATGCTGCTGAGGAAAAGGCAGAGGCATGTACGCAAAATGGTTATGTGGTGTAGATGTAAACATATCAGTTTTAAAAAAACATAATCTGAACAGTAGGAAAGTATTACTATGTAGTCCACATAAGCAAATTATTGATCATTGAGACTTACAGCCACTGCTAAGTGTGTTTCCCCAGCCAGAGATCAGACAGCTGGTCCCAGCGTCAACACAACCGGAAGGAAGGGGTATGACATTGACATAGTTATTGAGGACGGCTGGAGTGGAGAGTTTGATTAAGAGAATGTCATTGTCCAGGGTCCTAGAATTGTATCTGGGATGTTTGATGGACTTGGCGTTGCTGATAAACTGTTCTGTTCCTTCACTTACAAAGATGTTGTGCTCTCCCAGTCTGATCTGCACCTTCCTTTAGAAAAAAAGATCACAGTTTATTACTTACTTATTTATTTTATTTCCCCCCAATATTTATATGGCGCTAACATATCATGGAACATGTTATAGAATTTATAGATCCATTCACATCAATTCCTGTTCCCAAAAGAGCTCACGTGTCCCCCACAGCACTCATGCACACTACAGGCAATATAGAAGGGCACCAATATAGCCTACCACCAGTATGTTTTTGGGAGGAAAAAAGGAGCACCTGGAGCACACCATGCAAACCAGGGGAGACAATAGGCCCAACCATGCTAGCCATGCATACTTCAAAACAACTTCAGGCTTTTTTTAACATCCACCATGAGGTTTAAAAATAAAAACAGTGGCTGCAATGCTCACCGCAATCCAGAGTTGCCCCACACAGGCCCTGTTATCCACTATAAGATGTTCTGGGTCTTCCAAGCAACATAATGCTAATAGTCCTCAAGGGGAAAAGATTGCCACTAGAAGGGAGGGGGAGGCACTGAACCCAAAGTTGGGCTTTAAGTATTAGGGCTTGCATTAGGAGTACAGGACACTCAAAGAAACCTCAAAATATTCTAGGTTTTTTTTTTTTTATCCCATGTGATGAAAACTGTTACCGAGTATTAAGTATAAAATAAAAAAGTATAACTTTCTGCTGGAGCAGTGGCATCATCACTATGCTGCATTGTGCAAAAAGCAGAGCAGTGGGAATGACCCAGCAAACCCCACCTGCTACAGGCTGCCTGCAGAAAGCTTAAGTAGGGGGCGTACACAAGACCAGCCTCCCTGCACAAGGAGAGAGAGCAGCAGTGAGCAGTGTGTGTTCAGTTTACACTACGTTTATGTTTTGTTACCTTTGTATAAAAGTTGCTTGAATCTTTCAATAAAAAGATTAGCAGCAGTGAGCGGTCTTTTTTAACTGAGGGGGAGGAGACAAGACCAGTCACCCTGCACAAGGAGAGAGAAGCTGCGAGCGGTCTTTATAACAGGAAGCTCCAAGTCTCACACTGGACTACTGCACAGGTCTGGAAGAAATACACCAAACTCACCAATATTCAAGGAAAAATACACAAGACTCTTGTATGAGGACAATATCTGCTTATCCTGGAGTTCAGCTTTATCTTAGTGCTCACAACATCCTCACATACGACACTCTGAAATGAATGTGAAGTAGATAAGGCAATCACCCATCAACAATTTAATTTTTCAGTAGCTTAGCCCTGCCCTTAAACCACAGTGGTCTTATGTGCTCACAACTAAAAAGAAGCTATAACACATATAAGGCATTTTCTACTTACTGTTTATGGCAGTGAGCAGCGGAAACCACCCACAGGCTATTAATCAGGGACCCTCCGCAGAAGTGATAACCGGCATTCAATGACACCTGCCAGGGCACAGAGTTCTTGGCACAGACATAACCTCCAACAATCTTATCTTCGTCAAAGGCAGCTATAAGAAATAACGTGTTGCAAATGACATACTAGATTGGCTTAAAGTGTATTTCCACTTATGTTCCCATTCACACAGCATACCTAAAAAAAAGTTTACAAATATATTTATTGTATTTATATCTTTTTGGGCCGTCTACAAGCTTCTCTCAAAAATGTCAAAGTGAGTCTGTCCCTAAGACAAAGACTGAGGGCAGAATTAACTTCCTCTTATTACCATACACTGCAGAAACCAAGATCCGCATGAAGTCTTTCCTTCAACATCTATTAAGAGATCTTTCCAAAGTGAGGGAAAATCTTCTTGTAGACAGGAAAGGTGTCCCAAGTGGAGGATTTCTCCTCTAATCATCTTCCAATGGCAACTGTATAATTATAGATCTCCCATGGTGAATAGGACACATAGGGGTCTATTTATAAAAAAAATTGCAGAGCCATGAATGTTTATTCTTTGTGAATAGAGGCAAAAACGAACATTCTTTGTATATATTTTCCTTTTAGGTCGAATATAATGTAATGTAATGCCTCATTGTAGCAACTAGATGGAGCTGTGCAGCGATAAGAAATATATACTTATTTCCAGTGCTCCTCGGCTCCATCTAGTGTCCATAATACAGTATTACATTACATTTTATTTTAAAGCAAAATATGAGTAGCTTAGGCAGGGCAAATCCACTCACATTTTGCAGTCGATATACTAATAGAACAAGACTGATCATATAGCAAAGACAATTTTCAGATAGCTTAGGGAATAAAGTGAAGTTGTGTTCACCTAGAATACCCAATTATGCACAACAAAAATATGTGTGTGTATATATATATAACATAACATTATAAGGAAGAGCCTGGCTTTTCAGGTCCTTCCAGGTTTTCCTAAATGTAGCTGGGATCTGGAGCTCTGGAGATCTCTTAGAGCTCTGGGTGGGATGAGATCTCCAGTCCTGGGGCCAGGTGTTACCAATGACCAGTATAGCTGGATCAGGTGGCTGGGAGCAGCCTTATTAGAAGCCAGCCCAGTGCTCAGAGAGTTGAGTTGGAGTTGTGTGTGTGTGTGTGTGCGCAGGAGGCACACAGACACATGTAGACCCGGGTGCGTGCTGGACGCACAAGGAACAGCCGGGGGAGGCTGGGAGAGGTCAGAAAGGTTGGTGACCCTAGGATCTGTGGTACACACTGCTGAGAGAGCAGATAGAGGGCTCACGAGGGGTGAAGAGCCTTAGAGCTGAGGAAAGCTACAAAGGACGGTATTTGCTAAAGAAGGCTGATTGTCATGAAAAGTGCATGAAATGTTGGCCTTTATGTGAACAGGGGAAGGCTACCCCATGGATGACCAGCGACTTTGTGTTTGCCCTTTTAATAAACTGCGTTTTACTTGACTTACCTGGACTACAGTGGAGTGTCCTTGTTACAAGATATATATATATATATATA